CTCTGTCTCAAAAAAAAAAAAAAAAGAAATGGGGTTGGGACTGACTTTCTCATGGCACCTTCTCTGAGTCCCTTCTCACATGGAAGTTCCCAGGTTCTTGCTAACACTGCCAGAGCTTCACTCGCCTTCTGATAGCATTGATTTCCTTGAGATTGGCTATAGATATGCACGTGAAAGAAATCAGTCTATCTATATCTTAGAACGTATTGCTGACCTCATACTGTCTTCTGGGTGTATGGGAGCAGGTCCAATAGGTTCACCTCAAAATAAACTGGAATAGAATTTCCATAATTCTTCCAGGGCTCTGTGTTCATGTCTTCCTCTCCCCTATCATTATATTAATTCACATCTTATGGTATGCAATAAGTAAGCAAGACAGGAGAGCCAATATCCTATAATTGTGATTGATCTCCAGCCCTAAATTGGAAATTTTTGTCCTTGAAGATTTTATCTTGTGCATGTGTTGGGTGTGACATACAGCACCTGACCATTATTGCTTAAATGGTCCTAGGTCAGCAGTTCTCAACCTGTGGGTCATGACCCACAGGAACGGTATTAAAGTGCCTCAGTATTAGGAAGGTTGAGAACGACTGTCCTAGATGGATTTTGGCACTTTTAATGCTTGGCAGCAAGGATCTCACTGAGAGCCATCTGTATATTCTCAATGTGCAGCATGGGTAGGTTAAATGAACACCAAAATAATGTCAAATAAGGAAAAGATGACAAAATCCAGCACAAAGTATTGGTCATATATTAAAAATGGAAATGCAGTAATCATTGGATATTCTTGTCCATAGATAAGGAAATATTGAATATTAGAAAGATATGGTAGTACATAACCAGAGTAACAAAGGTATGCCAGGGGATGCCAGGCTGGCCATATTGGAGACAGCATTGGTTTCTGGCCTTCGTCCTTTAAGCAGGGCTCCGTTCCTACCTAGTTCACTCGCTTTGGTTTGAGCATTCCTCCAACCTCTTCTCTTCAATCTTTCTTATGTTGGAACTTAGAATATAGATCAAATTGAAGCTTTTTAATTGAAGACTATTGAACTACCTAGGAAAGTATAAAAAGCAAACTTTTCTTTGAACAGATAAAAGGTATTTAACTCATCTATTTTTAAAACTTAGAGCTAAGTATAGAAAATATAAGTTTTACTAAAGCAGTAAGATAATAAGAGAAAAGGATAGGGAGAGAAGAGAAAGAGATAAGAAAGAAAATAGAAGAAAGTCAAGCTTTACCACCTTTATATGGAAACTCAAGAATGTATTTGAAGTGTTTATTTTCCTGTGGAAATGTGAATCTCTCACACATGGGAAAAGGAACAATAAAGGGGGGAACAGAAAGGAGAAGCAGGTGAGGGAAGAATAAAGAAACTGAAGAACAGACACATAGTGAAGGGGAGGAGTAACCCCAGAGAGGAGCAGAGGCAGACAAGCCAAAATTAAGATTGTGGCTTTGGTACCAAAGATCTGGATTCTAAGTCTACAAAACAAAAAACAACAAACAACACAACAACAACAACAACAACAAACTGTTTCAGCTATACTTTGTGATGCAGTACTGAAAATATTTTCTGAGACCAGGAATGAGACGATGATGGCTACTGTTATTACGTCTGTTTACACTGGAGGTCTTATCTAATGGAGTAAGGCAAGAAAAACAAACATAAGGAAAAAAAGACAACTTACTATTCATAGATGACATAGATGACAGAAAATCCAAAAGAAGATCCCAAAGTGATTTTAGCAAGATCTCTGAGTATAAGGTCAATATTCAAAAATCAGTTATATTTCTATTAATATATACAAGCACAAATGAAGAGAAATGGAAATTTATAAAATCATGTTTTACAATAACCTAAAAAAACTTAAGATGCTTTTCTGAGCCTCCTTTTTCTAATGTGAAAAATTAGGGGTGCAGCAACAACAGTGACAGTAATAATAGCAGCAGTAGGAGCAGCTGGGGTGTACTGAGTACTTACAGTGTGCCAGATAGTGTTCTAAATGTTGACATGGATTAGTTCCTTTAACCTTTACAACAGACCTTTAATGGTTATTGTGAGGATTAAATGAGGTAATATAAGTAAAACACTTAGCAAATTGCCTTGCATATGTAAATTCTTAATAAATTTTAGCTATATAAAAATAATCATTATTTTAGAGAGATTTACAGACTCAGTTGTTAGTAGAACTAAGTTGTTGTTAATTTGACTTAAGATTTGCTGAATAAACAGTCATGCCTTATGGTTGTTTTGAAATTTTAAATAGCTCATTAATTGATTTATTTATTCAGGCACTGCTCTTGGACGTAGGAATACAGTGAGTAAGCACAATAGATAAAATCCATGCCTTAATGGAGTTTACCATTATAACGCATTAATCAAATGATATCACAGATTGTTCTCTGAGACTAAAAGTACAAGGCATCATATAGGAACATCCAGGCTGGGCGGAACCTGGTTTGGAGTAAAGAATGAATGAAGAAGGCCTTGTTGCAAAAGAGACAATTGAGCTGGGTTCTGAATGATAAGCAGAACAGGTGTGTGAAGGAGTGTGAGGGCTGTGGGTGGAGGGAGAGTTTGACATGTTTTAGGAACTGAAAAAAATGTCTGAGTGACTCAGAGAATGAAGAAAGAAGAAAGGGTCGTTGTATGAGCTATGGCTACCAAGGAGGACAGGAGGCAGGTCTTTACGGCCTTGAGAGCCTTGTTCATCATTTTTGCGGTTATCCTAAGAATGGAGTGCACCGCAAGGTTTTTATGGAAGGGAACAATACGATCAGATTTGTGTTTTGAAAATAATTTCTTCAATAAGGCTGCTATTGTTGTGTAGGCTAGGATACCATCAGTAGTAAAAGGAATTAGTGGGTATATTTGAGAGATACTTAAGGGTTGGAATTGACAAGGCTTGGCATTAGCTTGGGGGAGGGACGAGGGATGCCCTACTGATGCTTTCCTCATAGGTCTGACTTGCAGAACTGGGTGACTAGTTCTGACGTTCACTGAGAAGAGGACATTGTGGGAAAATAGCTTTACCAACTTCTTATTGAAACTCGAGAATGTATTTAAAGTATTTATTTTCCTATGGCAATTTGAATTTCTCACACATAGGGAAAGGAATATGGTTTGGGACACTAATTTTGGAAACATAGAGATGCTTACTTCTTGTTTTCCCTTTGTCTTTCAAAAATGTTGGATTGTTATATATTTAGTCTTTCTTTAAAATGGGCAGGTATATCAAACTTATAAACTCCTGAAGGATACTTTTAGAACCAGTCTCCCATTCTCTTCCCAAATCTGTTTCTTCAGTCAGAAAAACTAAATAGTTCTGTGCAGAAATATAGTTTTTAACTTTTTTTTTTTTCAGTTTTTGGCTGGGGCTGGGTTTGAACACACCACCTCCAGCATATGGAGCTGGCGCCCTACTCCTTTGAGCCACAGGCACAACCCTTCAACTTTTTTTAAATTAACCTTAAGTCTCTTCTTAGATTACCAAGTAGTTACATGTGAGAAAAGAATTTTGGAGTTGGAACAGAATAGCCTTATCCAGTGTTTGCACTGACTGTGTCATATTGATATTTAGCCACTCTGAAGTTCTCTGTCTTTGGTTTAGGATATCTTTGACAGATATACTAGGGCTTCAGATACCTTGGTTAAAGCCTTCATCAACTGCTGGTGGTGCCTGGAGTTGATCTGAACAAGCCTGTAAGAAGGCCCTGGAGTTGACCCAGATTCTCCAGGACTGATTGGAACTTTCTGAGCCTTGGCATTCTCTCAAAGAAGAGAGTCTGAAGCTAATAAGTTTTAGCCTTCTTAATCCCCTGCCGCTTTTATGTAGCAAAAACTATCCTGTAGGACCCTTTGAAGGGAAGAAAAGCCACTAATGAGATAGTTAGAGGGGGAAAGTGAAACTGGAGGGCAGTCCCACAAATGAATCCTTTGCTTAAGTATAGGACGGGGGATAGGAAATGTGGCTGATGAGGGAGTGTGTGTGTGTATACATCGATCTTATGTGGTAGGGTCTCCCTTTCACTCTTGCTCTCTGCCACACACACATACACATACACTAGTGTCCTCAGCCTATGCCCACTCTCTGTATCATAGCCTAGCAGCCTCTGTGTTGTAGACTCAAGCAGGAGTGTCCAAACGAGGGCCTACAGACCACATGCAGATTATTTGAGGACTATTTTGCCTATCTGTTGTGTGAGACACTGTGAAAAGTATGCATGGACAGACCTTTTCTTTTGCTCATCAGCTTTCATTAATGTTTGTATATTTAATGTGTGGCCCCAGGCAACTCTTATTCTTCCAATGTGTGACTGTAAGGTATGGGAACAGGACTTCATGCGCTGCCCGAGCTCCTGGCAAATACCATGCTCTGGGACTGAGTGGAATCTGAACATGGGAGTTCCTTTGGGCTGGGACTCCCCACTTCCTCCCACCATTCCCAGCTGACAGCCTGTCTCTACCCTGTCTCTGTTCCCACAGCATTCCACCTCGGTGAGCATCATGGGCTTTTCCAACACTCTGGAGATGGAACTGTCATCTACCAGGCTGGCAAGGACCCTAGAGCCACAGATCCCAAGTGTGAGCAGCCTGACAGCTTGCCCCCCTCAAGCAGTACCAAGCTTACTGAGTGGCCCCCCACAAACTGTGTCCAGCCTGACAAGTGTTCAAAACCAGCCCATTCCCAGCCTGACAACCAGTCAGCTACAGACCATGCCCAGCCTTGTGCGTAGCACTTTCCACTCCATGCCCAACCTGATCAGTGATTCCTCCCAGGCGATGGCAACCCTAGCAAGTGATCACTCTCAAGCCAGGCCCAGCTTAATGTCTGGTCATGCCCAGGATGTGCCGAGCCTGGCAACTTGTCCTCTGCAGAGCATGCCTTCAGTTTCTGACATGCAGCTGGAATCTGTGTCCAGCTCCAGTCCTAGCTCTGGCCAAAGTACAGGAAGCCTGTGCCCTGGGCAAGGGCCTGACACCTCTCCAGGGAATGCCCTATGCAAGGTAAGTCTTGGGGAAATACTATTCAACTTCCTCTGTCCATCACTGGGCAAAAGGTTAGCCACTTAAAGCCTTATCCAGGCCTTAGCTTAACCGCGCTGAGATTGCTAACGGTAAAAATGTCTGATTTCTTTGATTCTTGTTGGCATTTCACTTTTGAAAGATGGAAAGTGAGGATTCCACCTACTTGACTGACTCACTGGGACAAGGTTCCACGACCCCTGGTCCGGATGCTCCCAAAGACTTAGCTATCCCCTCAGAACTGGAGGAGCCCATTAACCTCTCTGTGAAAAAACCTCCACTAGTGCCAGTGGTCAGCACATCTACAGCTCTTCAGCAGTACCAGAACCCAAAAGGTGAGACTAAAGGTAAGCAGGCTGTATCACATCGGCCACTGACTGGGGCAGATGGACTCAGCACTTCCAGGTGAGCTAGAAGTCAGCAGGAAGGCTCTAAGCCTGGGAGAGCAGTGCGTCTATCTGAAGCTAAATTCACTTCTTTCCTCCACATTGACTTGTTGACACCTGTTCTGCTTCCCTCACCGTGGCTGTGGCTAATCCAGCCATGCTGGGACTTAGTCTCCTTGTAACATTCTCCATGCAAAATGTCCTGGGGTCTGGATTATACTTATGGGAAACAGGAAGAGCTCACCCTAGGAGGTCTAGTCTTGACACAAAATATTATCAGGAAAAGAGCATGTATGACTTTGGAGTCAGATAAACCTAAATTAGAAAACCAGCTCTGTCTCTTTGTCCTGATGCTGGGTAAGAGACATAACCCCCCTGAGCTGACTTTTTCTTGATAAATGGGCTAAGCTACTGGGACAAATACCTACAGTGAAATTATTTTATAATTTACTCTGTGGTAGCAAGATTTTCCCTTGTACCTGACAGTAATGTGAATTTTTGTTGTGCCTCATAGTAAAGGGAGTTTGGACCATTGGTGATTAATTCTGATTATCTTCTCAGCTACCTATGACCCTTCTCAGCTAGGCTAAGGTTTGGTTGTTTGTAGAAGGTAAGGGCTAGTTGGGAAGTTACGAAGCAACTATCTACTGATCATTTGGGACTTTTTAGAGTATGATGTGTGTTTGATTTGTAATGATCAGTCTACTTTCTATACATTTAATACATGAAAACAAAAAATTAATTTTTCTCCTTTTTTCTCATACTGACTGAAGAACCAACTTAAAACTTATTGTTTCTTATTACACACAATAATATAACCCCACATTTTATGCATGTGAATTTTTTGGACCCTGCTTGTTCATGTGAGTTGCCCAGGAAGGATAGTGCTGAGTGTCTGCTCAGTAAATGCTAGTAGTTCCCTCCTTTTGCTGGACCGTAGTCTCTCGTCCATATACGCAGACTATACCCACTAGGGAGCACTCCCTGGAACCTGTTGCCCATGGTTCTCAGGCAGTGCTAGAATCTCAGTACTTGGGTCAAAAGACTGAGGCTGGATGGAATGATTCCTCAGATTAGGCAACACTAATGTACTGAGAAGAAGTGATTTCTGAGTTTAGTTTGAAGCTGGCGCCTCTGTGCCTGACCCAACACTCATCTGCAGGCACCCTCTGAGGATTATCTGTGTTTATTTTCTTAAAAGAAAGTGGCCTACTTTAAATTCTTTGGGGTATCTCCCCATGATTTTCCATAGAGGTTGAAGTGGTTTGTAGTCCACTAACAGTGTATAAGACTTCCTTCCTCTCCACATACACACTACTATCTGTTGTTTTGGGACTTATTAATGCAAGCCATTCACATTGGAGTTAGGTGATATCTCTAAGTAAACTTACCATTTGACCCAGAAATCCCACTGCTGGGTATATGCCCAAAGGAAAAGGTCATTTTATAAAAAGGACACTTGCACATGAATCTTTATAGCAGCACAATTCACAATTGCAAAGATGTGGAAACAATCCAAGTGCCCACTGATACGTAAATGGATTAATAAAATGTGATATATTCAAACTATGGAGTATTACTCAGCCATAAAGAAAAATGGTGACCTAGTATCTCTTATGACAACCTGGAAACCATTCTTCTAAGTGAAACATTCAGGAATGGAAAAACAAACACATGTACTCAATATCAGTTTGGAAGTAATCAATCAATACTTAAGTACACACTTGAGTAAATCTCAATGAAAATCAAGCTGGGAGAAGGAGGGAGTGGGTAAATTCACACCTATTGGGCATGGTGCACACTGTGTGTGGCAGGCATGCTCATAACTGTGACACAATTTGTAAATTTGTACAAAAAGCAAAGTATGTAAACAAAACACACATACTCCCTAATATTCTGAAGTTTAAAAAAAATTCATAAATGCCCAAGATGGAGGGTGGGGTTGAACAGTGAGAATGCCGCCTGAAACCAGAGAAGTTTTATGCATATTTTAAATCATGGTAGGAATTTCTACTAATTTTCCCATCCATGTTACAGTATATAAAGCAGATTTAAAGTACATTTAAGGAGATTTTATTTAAAAAAGCAAACAAAAAAAGAAGTTGGCTTTTCTTCTCTCTGAGGATAGGATTATCACCAGTATGAGTGATGACAGCATAGGCAATAGTTACCTGACAGGTGTGTGGCCAAAGATAAGAATTGTAGATATGAATAGAAGATGTAGGTGACAGGGTATGTTGTCTGTCACAAATGTGTGTCACAGGTATTTATTTATCTTTTGCCATAGCGTATGAGAACTTTGAACAAGGAGCCCTAGAGCTGGATACAAACGAGAACCAGAGAAGCAGGTAACAGACTTTTAGCCAACCTACCCCTTCCAGCCCAATTGAATGTCCTACGAGGTTAGTATAGGAAGTAAGCATCCTTAATGACATAACTTGAAGTAAAAGTTTGTCCGCAACTGTCTTCTTCAACACCCAGACCCTCAAGTGGAGTCCACGTGGTTGGATGTCTGGGATGGTTGTGGGAGGATGTCCTGGCTTCTGCACCATGAGGCCTACTCTTTGTGTGCAATCCTTGCTCTTCAGGGAACCCCATTCTCTGACCAGGGACTAAACAAAAGAACTTCCTAGTAGCTGGCAGGGCCTGGTGTGGCAGACCCAGACAGGAGGGCAGAATATGGGCCTGCAGAGAGTCAGACTAAGAGGATCTTTAGTAGCAGTTCACTTGAGGGAAACATGAATGAGCCTGACTTACAGGTTAGGGCCAGAGGAGGCTCCTACCAAGACCCACAGGTGTCTGTCTGTCTTGCCACAGAGCCTTCAACAATGAGTCTAAGATTCCCTATGTGCGACTGGAGAGGCTCAAGATCTGTGCTTCCTCCACGGGAGAGATGCCTGTGTTCAAGCTGAGACCACAGAAGAATGATCAGGATGGGAACGTCTTGCTAATCATCGAATGTGGCACTGAGTCCTCTAGCATGTCTGTTAAGGTACCACTTCACTCTGCCTTGGCCTTGAATCTTGGCCAAGCCTAGGAGCCTATTCTTTCTCTCTGCTACTGCCAGAATTCTGGCTCTGGGAGCTCTTCTGAAACTCTGAGTGGAGCTATAGCTTGGCCAGATGTTGTTGCCTGCTGCAAGGGGCCTATGAGATGCACATTAGGTGTGAACTGTCCCACCATCATGGAGCTTGGCGGCATGGGGTCCTAGAATAAGTAGTTCTCACAGTAGGTGCATAGAACCTGTTATTTCCTTCATATTCTTCCTTAATAACTTGTCAGTGCTATGCTCTGACTTCTCAGACTTACTTTTTCCCCAAGGTCAGCCAGGGAAGCTTACCTGATGCCATCAAGGCCCCGGGTCTGGGGGGAAGAAAGGTCACTGTCACTTCTCTGGCTGGGCAGCGGCCACCAGCACTGGAGGGCACGTCTCGTGAAGAACACAGACTCATACCTCGAACTCCTGGAGCCAAGAAGGGCCCCCCGGCCCCAATAGAGAATGAGGATTTCTGTGCGGTGTGCCTCAATGGGGGAGAGTTGCTGTGTTGTGACCGCTGCCCCAAAGTGTACCATCTTTCCTGCCATGTGCCAGCCTTGCTCAGCTTCCCAGGGTGAGTCACTCCAGTTCAGGGCCATCACCTGGCTAGCAGAGTTATCTTTCAGAGATTATTATTGCAAGCCAGGCCCACAGAGCTCCCTAGTATGAGCTTACCCCCTCTTTTGGGCCTGCATGAATCATGGGTCTGTGAATTAGTGCTTTCTAGATCGATGTCCCTTCTGCATACAGACAGGCAGATGTTTGAAATTCGATCAGCTTCCTTTCCTCCTCTGTTCTCAGTGTCTTCCTGCACAAATTTGTGCCTACATTCCTTTCCTAGCCTCCCTTAACTCCTATCTTTCTGATTCACTAAATTCTGAGTTCCTAAATTTCTTCCAAGCCTGAGGCTAGGAAGCCAGGGACTCAGTTCCGTATGCCATCACGCCCACACCTGTTTGGGGGCAGAGAGACAGGGAAGGGTGTTCTGGGCAATGTCCTGAGGTCTAACATGGCCTCACCTGCCTATGCAGGGGAGAGTGGGTGTGTACCTTGTGCCGTAGCCTGACCCAGCCCGAGGTGGAGTACGACTGTGAGAATGCCCGCTATAGCCAGCCTGGAATGCGGACATCTGCTGGCCTGAGCACATATGATCAGAAGGTAGGGAAGGGTCTCTGGGAATAAGATTCCTTGCCTGGGACAGTCCCCTCTGAGGCCTTTCAGAGAGGGTGAGAGGCCTTTGTGGGTACCGTTCTTTTGGGCCATGCCTAACAGCTTGGCCAATGGGGATTTGGATGATTTCTCTTCTCTTGGCATTTTTCTTTGGCTTAGGGGCCTGAACTGTGCCTTAGCGGCTGGCACCCTGAGGGGCAGAGCCAGAGAGTTATTAGGGTAACCATCTTTATTTCTTATTGAGGTGAGGCCAGAACAAAGTAACACTGTTGTTAATTCTGATTTTGCAGAAGTGTGAGAAGCTGGTACTGTCCTTGTGTTCCAATAGCCTCAGCCTGCCTTTCCATGAGCCTGTCAGCCCCCTGGTAAGGAAAGCCTCAGGTTTCTGTCTGTTACTGTCCTTTCTGCTCAGAGGGCCTAGGCCATGAGGTGGGAGCACTATAGTACTCAGGGTGGGCTCACAGCATGGCTGCTGAAAGTAATGATAATACTAATTTGTGTGCTGATTGGTTTGATGTAAGCACGTCAGATTGTACAAAAAAATCAACACACTGTACCCCACATATGCATAAATGTATTCATGATCTATGTGTATATGACTTAATAAAAAAATACTAATTTATGGATGGTCCAGGGGATCCTTGGGGCCACGGCTACTCCATAGCTGCTACTGTGTTAAATCTAACTTGACAAGTGACACGTTCCTCCTTTTTCCTTTTCCTTTTTTTGGGCAGTTTTTGGCCGAGGCTGGGTTTGAGCCCGCCACCTCCGGCATATGGGGCTGGCGCTCTACTCCTTTGAGCCACAGGTACCGCCCCCTTTCCTTTTTCTTTTTAAAAAATTTTTTCCAATATTTTATTAGGTAATTTTTCAAACATACAGTAGAGTTGAAAGAATTATGATCACCCAAACACCCACCACATGCATTTTATAATTTTTTTCTTTTTCTTCACATATAGGAGATTTATTCTTAGGGAGGCTACAAGTTTTTTGTTTTTTTTTTTTGAGACTGGGTCTCACTTTGTTGTTCCTGGTAGAGTACCATGGAGTCATAGCTCACAGCAACCTCCTGGGCTCAACCAATTCTGTTGTCTCAGCCTCCCAAGTAGCTGGGACTACAGACGCCCACCACAATGCCCGGCTATTTTTAGAGATGGGGGTCTTGCTCTTGCTTAGGCTGGTCTTGAACCTGTGAGCTCAGGCAATCCACTCCCCTCCCAGAGTGCTAGGATTACAGGCATGAGCTACCACACCAGGCCTGAGGCTACAAGTTTTGTGCCCCTCATCACAGTGATAACAGATTCCTGTTGGGCATATTATAAACAAAAGAGCCATTCTTCAGGCCCCCTGCTCTGAGAATACCCCTCTTTTCCCTTTTTCTTTGTCTTCTTTCTCCATATTTTTCTTTCTGCTGGTCCTTATCTTTCTCTTTTTTCTGTTATTTCACTTACTTTCCAACTCATCCTCCATCTCTTTCTCCTTTTTATCTATGTCTTCACTTCTTCTCTCTTCCTTTTTTGTCTCCTTCTCCATGTCTCTCCTCCCCCAAGGCCCGGCATTATTACCAGATTATCAAGAGGCCCATGGACCTGTCAATCATCCGGAGGAAGCTGCAAAAGAAGGAACCAGCTCACTATACCACCCCAGAGGAGTTGGTGTCAGATGTGCGCCTCATGTTTTGGAACTGTGCAAAGTTTAATTATGTATGTCTTGGCTGCTCTCTCTCTCCTATTTCCTAGTAACCCCAAGACTGTCACAGCTAGGTGTGGGTAAGGGACAGGTTTGGTCTTGGGTACTATGGAGACCTGGGAAGAATTTCCTGGGGCCAACTGTGGTGAGTGTTTAAGAGCTCTGTCTTAGACTCAGACATGGACCTCACCAAGATGGCAGGCACAGGGACTAGCTATCTGTGGATACCTGTCAGGGTCACTTTTGCTTTAAGAGATGCTACCAAACTGGTTGTCCTATGTCCTAGGAAAAAATATCAAGTCCAGATATCCTAGGAGACCCAGCCAGGCTTTGTGCTCTGTATAGCTCTTGAGGGACATGGGAGAGATGGGCTGGTAAAAATGGACTAAACCGTCACTGCTCTCCTTTCCCATCAGCCTGACTCAGAGGTTGCAGAGGCTGGCCGCTGCCTGGAAGTGTTCTTTGAGGGCTGGCTGAAGGAGATCTACCCAGAGAAACGGTTTGCCCAGCCAAGGCAGGAGGACTCAGACTCCGAGGAGGTGTCTAGTGAGAGTGGATGTTCCACCCCTCAGGGCTTCCCATGGCCCCCCTACATGCAGGAGGGCATCCAACCCAAGAGACGGCGACGGCATGTGGTAAAGAGTTGCTGCCAGTTGGCAGTAGGTGGGTGGGTGACTGGGTAAGCAGGGGGCACCCAAGCAGCGGGTATAGAGCAACTTAAAGAGCAACTGGTCATGTGGCACAAGAGACAGTGATGACAGTGAACTCTCACTTACAAGCCTTTAGCCTCTAAGTAAGGCAGGGCAGTATGGGACTCATCAGCTCCAGGTGCCCATGCGGCTTGAAATTCAAAGAGGTGTATGTACCTGTCCAGGATCACCCAGCTAATTAGCAGGAGAGTCAGGGTAACAAACCAGGTGTCCTTATTTCCAGTTCAGTGCTGGTTTGACTGCTTGTGATTGGAAAGTATCTGGTATCAGTGCCTGATTTTTACTTGGGTTTGAGGGAGAAAGGAAGAGATCTTTTTCAGCTCCTTGGTATGGGGTGTTGCTTACAGCAGAGAGCTTCTTTCACCTTTTGACTGGTCTTGTCTGTATAGACCTGAAACACCGATTTGATGCTGTTTAATTCTACTAAAATTAATTACTTGCCTAATGTGTGCAAGGGTCTGACCAGCCATCCCCAGTTGTTTATAATTCTTAGCCCATAATATTTAGTGGCTTAAATAAGTTTTACTGTAACATTCCTGGGATGGAATAAAATGCTTTGACTCTGTAGACTCCCAGTCTTGGATTTAGCTTTTTTATGTTAGTAAGTCCTACATTTGGTTATTTTAATTCCAAATATGTGTATTTTTTCTTTCAGGAGAATGAAAGAGCAAAGAGAATGTCTTTCCGCATGACCAACAGCATCTCGCAGGTGTGAGAGCTGGGAGGAGACTGAGTGTCTGGCAGCTGGTGTCCCATCCTGTTGACCATTCCTCCTCATCTTTCAGCTTATGCTCTTCAGAATGTGGATGTGAGATGAGTCTTGTTGAGCTGTGCAGTGCTCTTCTTTGCCATTTGCATCTACAGCATTTATTTGGGAGCCATAGTGCATCCACTACAGAGATTTCGGTAATAAACAGGAAAGAGGGAAGTGTTCCTTATTTCCAGAGTAATTAGATGTGTAGGGTCCACTTGACAGACAAAACCACAGTTGGTCAGGCTTGGAAGGCCCTAACTTCCTTGGTGAATACTTTCTGCTGAGGAAAGCAAACCTCACCTTTCAGTGTCTAGGCTCAGAAGCAGCGTCTTCATCTGAATTCCTCCTGGGCTCGGAAATGGGTAAAAGAAGGGAGAGAGGTTTGGACATGTGGCAGGCCAGTGATCCTTAGCCTAGCACAGCCAAAGACTGTCACTGGTTGCCTTTGCTTGTCCAGTCTGCCCCAGGCAAAATAATGGAGGCTTATGGAGGTTGTAAGTCTCAGTTGGTGCCTATTCAGGTTTTAACGGTTTCCAGGGTATTTGTTTTACATTCTCTCTTTCTTGATGTTAACTTTAAGTGACCTCTGTAAAAGTGCTCTGGATGGTATGGAATTCTTAACTGAGCTGGGTTAGTGGGCAGAGACCATTTATATCTTCCAGCTCATATTTCACTTGGAAGTTTAAACAGATGGCAACTTCAAAGTTTGCCCTTTGTGCCACTTATTTTGCTAATAGCACCTCTTTGGTGTCAGAACCTGCCTTCCTAGAGGTGATTGTTGGTGCTTGTCAATGGCCAACCCTTTATCATACCCATGTAGAAGTCTGGATCCTGAATTCTGCTTGGAAAAACTGTGAGGCAGTTGCTAGGTGTGGGTAGGGGACAGGTGTGGGGACAGGTACAGAAATCCCTAGGCAGGAGAGCACCTGTGTGCTTCAGGTACAGAAATCGCTAGGCAGGGAGAGTAACCCACAACCAGCTCGCTCTGCTGGGCCTCTCCTTCTGCTTGGAGATTTTAGTTCTCAACATCTCTAAGTTGACAGAGCCAAAGATCAGAAGTGAGTCCTCTAGTTAGCTTTCCTCCAGGCCATCTATACCCTCCCCACCCCCAATGCCAGAACAATATTCTATTGGCAGTCCTTTTTTGTTGGAGGTTGGGAGAAGGACTGAGGGACCAACAGGAGCCAGACCTGGGCATTCCTGGGGGAAGTTCTGTCCAGGATGAAGACAGGGAAAGTCAGTGTTGTTTGGTGTTCCTGAAGCAACATCAGGACCATTAGTTCTCCTAGAATGCAAGCGAGAAGCATTCTGGAAGCCATGGGAATAGGAGCTCCATGCTGCATCTCAGATAGATCTTCATGGTCCATGCAGGGTATTTGTGATGGACACTAGGGGTCAGCCTGCCTCCCAAGAAAGGGCTTGGTTGAGAAGGGACATGTTGCTGATATTGTTGGGGGAGCTCGGAACCTGGCTTTTCAGTGGCCTGGCCCTGAGACAGCTCTTCCTGGAGGTCTTGTGGCATGGCTAAATTCAGGAAGTCTCAGGTTATGGCTTTGTTTTTGCTAAGAGATGCAGTTTAAGGACGTTTGTGTCTGTAGGGCCTTTGCTAATGAGCTGTTTTTATTATTTTTAATCAGAAAACATTTCTTCTTTCCTGTGACTTGATGGTATCGTTCATTTCCTTCTCTACCCAAGCTGAGAGATCATCTTTACTTCAAAGCAGACCATGTCTATTGACTTGCCATTCTCTCAGCAGCACATGCCAAGTTCTCTGAAGCAGATGGGCTTCCATAATCCTGTTTTCTGGTCTAGGGTAATTAAGTCTTTAATATTGTACTGGTCAGGCAATCTTTGGACTTAGTGCCTTTGGGGTGCACATAACTTTCTGGCTTGGGTTCTGGCCATTTCCTTTTCAATTTTGGGATCTTTTTCTGTGTTTAGTTGGCTTGACAAGGTTCCCTCTTCTTTCCCTTAGCTATCTTTCCTTTGTGTAGCCCACATTTCCCACCATGGGAAAGCTCCATTGTACCTGGTATTAGACAGCCAGTGAGGGTTGTGAAAGACTTAAACCTGATTGAGATCCTTCCTCTGGACAAATTGGAGACCGCAAATATGAAACCAAAACTCCCATTAAAAGTTTGTCTTCCCTTATGTCAGTTGAAGCTCCTAGCTTGGGTGGGGTCTGCTAGGCCCAAGGGTCAGCTTGCTGGGCCAGGAGATCTTAGTAATGTGGAGAGTCACACATTCTTTTTCCATTGTAAAGACCTACACGCTTAGAGGCTCACATTAGGCACCTGAATAGGGATAGGTAGGAGGCAGGTATGCTTCCTTCAAGGGTGTGAGGCCTTAGCCTGCCACACTATCCCTATTCTGGTTATCTCATGTCACTACCCTCTCCCTGGCTTTTCCTATGTACCTAGCCACCAACATTTTTGAGTTATGATTTTGTTTAGTTTAGTTTTTGCATGCAGAAAAGTAGAACATGACTCCTTAGAAAAAAAAAACCCACCAAAAAACCATGTTAGCCAAGTTGACCACCTTTAGAGGCTCTTTGCTATCATTGAGCTGATTCTCCATTTGACTTGTTCTTATAATGGCTCCATTTTGGAGATTGGCCCTAGACAAAGTTGTTTGGCCCTTGACAAAATCATGCAAGAAATACAATGAGTTCTAGATTCTTCTGGTACAACATGCATTCCTATAGCATGCAGAGGAGAAATTGGCTTCTTGGGTGTGCCAAGAAAGAGGAGAGTAGAGGGGCTTCTGTTGATGTAAAGGGGATTTTAGTGCAGAAACTGGTTCAGGATGAATTTGCAGAGTATTCTTCCACAGAACATAGGTAGAACATTGGCGCTGCTTGATCCTAGCACTTGTTAACTACACACCCTGCCTGCTTCATTAAGTGCAGCCACCAGATCCTTCATAGGCTTGGCTCCATGGCAGGCTCTGCCATCACCCTTAGAGGATTCTGGCTGCCTTTACCCATTTCTGGCAGTAGGTCTTTGCCTGGCTCCTAAGACCTAGACCTCTCCATGTTTGTTCCTGGGATCTGCTCTGCTCCCTCTCTCATTCCATGGGGTCACCTGTTGGCGTCTCTTCTGAACTCCTGAACTGAGCATTTGCTCCTTCTGGATTGCTACCCTACCTGCCATGCCTCTTCTTCTGCTTCTTCCCTAACTTCTGCCAAAATTGCCCTGCTCCTTGATCTCAGCCTTCACCCTCCCTCCCAGTCTTTCAGCTTTCTCCTGGATTTCTTCCCCTCCCCAGGCTGAACCCATTTTTATCAGTGTCCTGAACTTTCTCATCCTTTCCAGCTTTTGCTGAAACTATCCACCATTCTCCATTTTCTGCATTATCCTATTTTCTGCTCCCTCTTCCTGGGCTTCTGAGCATGACAGATTCATAGTTTTGACAGCCTCAGATGGGCTCTCAGTACTGACCGAGGATTCTTTAACTTCTTGTTACTCTTTATTCCCATCCATGCCCTTAATTTCTGCTCTCAGCAAATGCCTGACCTCATTGTCTACTGCACAGAAGAGAGTCCCTAAGTGAGAACTTGCTTGCTGGCTGCTCCTCCCCTCCCATCTGTCTGTGTCTGTATCCCTCCACATCTCCTTCTCTCTTGCTCCCATTTAGTTCTCTCTTTCTGAATCCTGTTCTATGTCCTCCATGACTTTGTTTCCTCACTTATTCTACTGCTCCCACTTCCTAGGGCCTTTAGCCTCTCTCTCCCCTGGGTACCCTACATACATAGCCTGCCAACAAGCAGAGTTCTCCCCAGCAGTAAAACTAAATGTCTTAGAGTCTGTCATTCCTTATACTTTTTCCTTGTCAGCCAGGTTTCTTTTAAAAAGAATCTTCTTTTTTATTCTTTCCAGTTACTCTTCAGCCTTCTATAGGTTTCATAAAAGGTCACCAGTTGCCAAATCAAATGAGTATCTTTCAAGTCCTCAACTGTCTTGAATTCTCCACAGCATTTCAACACCATCCACCACTACCTTTGTGAAATACCCTCTTATGGGCTTTATGACACCAACTCTGGATTCTCATCTTCTTAGCCACACAGGCTAAGCCTTCCCTGAAACCTGGACAGGGAGACATGTCTGTGTCTGTTGATGGTCACTTATCTTCAGGACTTGCAGGCAGGCAGGAAGATGCACAGCTGCTCCTTGTCTCCCCACCCTTCTGTTTTCTTTGAGTCCCTTCTAGATTCAGTTCTTCTCATGCCAAGCAGGTTTATGAGCTCCTGATGGGAGGATAGCATCTGTGAGTCCTTCCCTCTGTCTCTCCCAGTATAGCACAGAGGAATATTTTAGCCACTTTTGCTAAGAGGCCCCATCTAAATCAGCCCAAGAGTGTGGATTAGGTTTTATAGCATCCAGGCAGCAGTTTGGCCAAACTGGATTACCAGTTCATCACTATGATCCCATACCAGTTAGAGCCATCCACAGTCAGTAAGGAGCCTGGTGTCATAGTAAGACATGTTCCTGTGTGTGGTTCAGTGTTGCTGATCCAGCAGAGAATCCTAGCAGGGTGGTTATTGGCACTGACTGTGTTCTGATGGAGGGCAGACTGGGAGTTGAAGGGATTTGCTGTGGTTCTGCCCTTGCTTGGGCTCAGCTGGTGTCAGCATTGACTCCCTTTGGCAGGGTCTTCCCCATGTGTGCTGATCATCACCACTTGCTTGCTCCAGTTATTCCTGGAGCTGGGGGCAGATGTTGGTTGCTTTCTTGGAGGGTAGGAGGTATGGTAGAAAGACATCTGATTTGAGAGTCTGAACACCTAAATTTTGGCTCTGCCAATCATGAGCTTTGTGATCTTGGGTACACTTTCCTCATCTATAAAGTTGGGGTATGGGAGTGGCTAAGAGCAGTGATCTCTCAGAAGCTCTCCAGCTCTGAAGAGCTTGCGATTCTAACTAAAGCTCAGGCCACACAAGGAATAAGGGAACTATGGGAGTG